GGTTTGGGTGTCTGAAAAGCTAGAAACTAGTTTAATGTTTCAGTTTTTCTCTGTGTGTTTTGTTGATAGTGATTTATTTTATTTGGTGTTTTGATGGTGGGGAGGGAGACTGGGACAAGGTCTTTACAAACAGCACCGGCTGTCCTGGAACTGGTTATGTAGATCAGACTGATCTGGAACTCACAGAGATCCACCTGCCTCTGTTTCCCAAGAGCTAGGACACTATACCTGCGGGCCAGTGCCAGACTAAGGTTTGGGCCACCAAGACCCCCTTTGTTTTGGTTTGGTTTTTGGGAGTCTCACTACTATGTTTTGTTTTATGTTTGTATGTTTGTTTGTTAGTCTCCCTATGTAGCCCTGGCTGTCCTGGAACTCACAAAGATCTACCTATCAGTGTCGAAATAAAAGGCTTACACCATCAACCTCGGCTATTTTTACTTAATTGAGTTTTATTTTTTTAATTGATTTTTAAATTTAGGGTTTGGTCTCAAACTCTCAGTTTTGTCGAGGATGACCTTGCATTTCCGATCCTCCTGCTTCCACTTACTGAGTGTTGAGACTGAAGGCATGTACACAAGCATTTTTGTCAACTGATCTACACCCCTAGCCCTCCTCTGCACTCCTCTGCTTCTTTTCCCTCCCCCCCCCCCGTTTCCCATTCCCCTGAACTTGTCTAAAGAAGGTGAGACAGTCCTTCAGGGTTCCTGCTTCCTGTCTAACAGAGTCTGTTAGACATTCTGCAGGACACAGAAAAAAAGTGACTGACAAATTGCCAGTATAGGCAAAATAGTCTTTCAAATTTTCTGTTTCATGGAAAAGTCTTCCACATACTATGAGCCTGTAAGCTGAAGATGAATGCCCCAACATTACAGAAGAACTTTGGGTGGCTGTCCAGGCAGCGAGATGTCTCTGTCAATTCTAGAGTTTTGGAAGTTGCTTACAATGCACTTTCTGTTTACTTAGATCATATTATTTCCTTCTGAGGTCTTTGGGGTTGGAGACTAGATAGTCATAATTACTTTCCTCTCATCCCTTAACCAAGACGTTTTTAATATATCTAATACTTAGACTCCGTAGGACAGGATAACTACTGGAACATTTAGCCTATGTTTCCTGATTGATGTTGTTCATATTGGCTGTAATTCAAATTTTTATGGATGTTTTTGTCTCTTCTTTTCCCAGGACAACACTTGTTTATTTTTTGTTTGTTTATTTTTTGTTTTTTGATACAGTGTTTCCCTGTGTAACAGTCCTAGCTGTTCTGGAACTAGCTCTTGTAGACCAGGCTGGCCTCGAACACACAGAGTTCTGTCTCCCTTTGCCTCCCAAGTGCTGGAATTAAAGACATGCACCCCTATCACCTGCCTTGTACTTATTATTTTATTGTGAATGTTTTGCTGTATATGTCTATGTACTATATGCATGTGTAGTGCCTGTAGAAGTCTGAAGAAGACACCACATCTTCTGGAACTGGACTTATAGTTGTCTGTGAACTACATTGTGGGGGCTGGGACTCAAACTGGGGTCCTCTGCAAGAGTAACCGATGCTCTTAACCATTGAGCCATCTCCCCAGTCAAAGATAAAGTATAATTAAGCAACTCAGGCAAGCTGGGAACTCATGAATCCCTGTACCTACCTCCTGAATGCCTGTACTGTACACATGTGTGTGCTACCAAGACTAGGTGAAATATCCATGTTGATTATAGAGACGTCCACGTGCTGTCTGGTAAAGCAACAGCTCTGGTTTAGGTGCCAGCTGTGGGGCAACAGTGTGACAGACACACTCCCTGTCCTGTTAATGGGCAATCGCCATCCAAATAGGTTAGATTGTCATGGACAGGAGAGAGAGAGAGAGAGAGAGAGAGAGTGCTTCCATTGCTGGCTGAATGGGTGAAGAATTTGCAGTCAGCTGTCACAAACGACTGTTTCCAGGCTGCGGAAAGATGTGAACAAACATAAGACAGACAATTAAAACTTTTAACTTGGTGTGGGGCTTGGTGGCGCACACCTTTAATCCCAGTCCTGGGGAGGCAGAGGCAGGAGGATCTCTACAAATTCCAGTCCAGTCAGGTCTACACAGTGAATTCCAGGACAGCCAGAGCCACGCAGTGAGACCTTTTCCAAGAAAATCAAACAAACAAAAAAGCTTCATGGAAATGGTCAAAAGAAGGAGAGAACAAAAGACCCCGGCTGTCTTGGATTTGGGGGAGGGAGGATAAATCTCTAAAGCACTGAAGGTGTTTCTTTAAGTGTCAATTCATTTATTACTTTGTGTGTGTGGTGTGCATGTGTGTACACCAAGTGTGTCGTGGCACATGCGTGGTCAAGGACAGCTATGTGGAGTCAGTTCTCTGTCGCCTCCCTTGGGTTTTGGAGCTCGAACCCCCGTCCACAAGCTTGCACACAGCGAGTGCCGTTACTCACTGCCATCTCAGTGGTCCCACTGAAAGCTGTGTTTGTTTGTGGCTGTCTCATGCAGCCCAGGCTTGAGCGAACTATGAACTCACTTGAACTGATCCTCCTGCCCCTACCTCTAAATACTTTTTTGTTTATTGTTTGTTTGAGGCAGGGTCTCACTCAGGCTGACCTAGAACTTTCTCCATAGCCTCTGGGTTCAGTTTTCTGTTACTCCCAGACTGCATAAGACGGAAAAAAAAAATGCTTGTGCATTGGTTTTTAAAATCTAAATCTTAAAACGTTTCACTTGTTTTCAGAAAGAAAACAAATTTTAACATATTTTCATATGCACTGCATTATTTAAGAGAACTAAACTTCCTTTTTTAATTTTAAGTGATGACACCTGTTATTTAAAAGCAGCAAACTCCTTTCACAATTTTAAAGGATGCACTGGGTGCACCCTTTAATCACAGTGCTTAGGAGGCAGAGGCAAGGCCAGCCTGGTCTGCATGGTGAGTTCTAGCCCAGGGCTACAAAATGAGATCCTGTCTGAGAACAAACATTTTAAGAGGATTCTTAGGTAAAGCACACAGAATTATTCAAATTATCCACACCAATAGTCTTCCCATAAAACACACATATATAATACATATTTAGTTAATATATTATCTATAGTACATATTTTATTATATATAATTATGTATTAATATATAACTTAGTGTGTATAATATATAATTAGAGACAGACAGGCACACAGACAGAGACACAGACAGAGGGCAGGTCCTGCTATAGCCCTGGCTTGTCTGGAATTTACTGTGTAGACCAGGCTGGCCTGGAACTCATAGAAGTCAGCCTGTTTCTGCCTTTTGAGTGCTGAGATTAAAGGTGTAGTCCACCATGTGCTACTTGTAACATTTTTTAAAATACCCTGTAGACATTGTAATGTTACCTTATGCTACTTGGTTTGACCCACCAGAAGGTGGCGCTGAAACCCCACAGCTTGTAAACCTTTCTTAAACTGACAAAAGTGGAATCTGTTCTGCTTTGCGGGTGAGTAGTGACTTAACAGTGGCCAGGGGTCAAAGCTCAGTCCCATTCTGTTCTCATGTCTCTGCCTTCCTCTTGTTCATCAGAAGCAGGGCAAGCTGAATGTTTACTAAGCTCTAACCATGCATCAGTACATTGGCTCCTAGGCAGGTCTCATTGTCTAGATGTGGTTCATATCCTCATTTGATGTTGAAACTAAAGCTCATACTTCAGGTCTCAGCTGGGGAACTCAACAGTAATCCTTTATTTAAAGGCAGTCAATTCACCACAGGCACTTTGGTCTTATTCATCCTTGGATCCTGTGTCATCTCAAAAGTAGCTCCAGGGGACTGGGGAGATGGTTCAGTGGTTAGGAGCATTTGGTGCTCTTGCTGGGGACCAAGATTCAGTTCCCAGAACCCAAGTGGCAGTTCCTGTTTGTAACTCCAGTTCCAGGGGATCTGGTGCCCTCTTCTGGCCACTGTGGGCACTGCATGCTCTACGGCTAGAGATGCAGCTCATTTGCAAGCATGAAGCCCTAAATTCAATCGCAGTCCCTGGCAATCACCATGTGGTGGCACCTGCCTGTACTCCCAGCACTTGGGAGGTAGAGATCAAAGGATGTCAGAAGTTCGAGATATCTTTGGTTTGGGAAGTGGAAGAACACATTATGTAGAAAGATTTTTCATTGATATGATCGAGTACCCCGAAAATACAATATTGTAACTCTTACTAAAGTGTTCCATGCCTGGTGATCTTAGTGTTTGATTCCAAGGAAATCTAGTTGTCTTTAACAGCCATAACTAGTTTAGGCCAAGAAGAGTTGCAACCCAGAAGGAGGGAAGACATAGTTTGGGGAGATCTAGAGGCTCCACATGTGGAGAGGGTTTGTGTGTGTCCTAGGAGTTACCTGTATTCACATGGATTCATTCATGTCCAGCCCTACCAAAATGGAGCCAGGACATAAGGACAGAGTCCTGTGCCTGTGAGAATTCTCCAGAGCCACTCTGTCCCAACTAAGCCCCCTTCAGGAGGTTTGTGTGCCTGACTGCAGCTCCTGCCACAGGTCCCTGGAACCAGTGAGCCTCCCCCCTACAACGGGTAACTTGCATTTCTGTTTCCTTTAAACACACTCCCTCCTCCCCCTTGGATACGCCCAGCCCACGTATGCACAGCTCAGCCTGCAATCCTGTTATTCTCAAACCAACGACTCTGGAGAGGAGATCTTCATTGTGCATGTATGTGAACTCAAAGAATGGGCACCAACACCGAAGAGAGGAGTTGAGAAAGCGAGTTAAAGAAACCACATTCCCAGCCAGATATGGTGGTTGCACACTCTCATAACTGAAACACTAGTGGTGATGGGAGTGGGGGCTAAGGCAGGAGGAGTACCATGAGTTCAAGTCCAGTATGAACCACACATACCAAGACTTCTTGCTATCCCAGCTCTGTGAGGCGAGGCAGGCAGATCTCTGGGACTTTGTAGACCAGAATGGTGTACAAAGCGAGTTCCAGAACAGCCTTGGGCTATATAGACTGTCTCAGGGGAAAAAAAAAAAAAAACACCAACTTTTTTTAACACACATTTATTTAAACAAAGAAAATTCCCCTAAATCCAACAAATACCCAGAGTAGTGCAATGTTTTAAAGGTTCATAGCGATAGAGCGTTTGCCTAGCATGATGAGTCCTACATTCAACCCTCCAGTAGTATTACTACTAACCACCCACCCACAGTGCAGTAGGACTAGTCAAGAGGTTTGTAACAGCTGTAGATCCAACACTGGTCAGATGAAGAACAGATCTGTCGGTGGTGGTCAACTGTGACCTAGGTACCTTTAGACTAACAAAGATGCTTCTTAACTACTCTGTCTGCTTTACTGTTTATCTGTTTGGTTGGTTTTTCAAGACAGGGTTTCTCTGTGTAGCCCTGGCTTATCCTAGAACTCACTCTGTAGACCAGGGTAAGCGCAGGCTCAGCTCTTCCTGCCCCTGCCTCCTGAATGCTAGGATTAAAGGTGTGTGCCACCAACATCCGGCCTTGCTTTACTGATTTTCAAGCATGGTGTATGGTTAGAGTTTAAGCCTATCCCTTGCTACTTTGTGTTTGCTGCTGGTGGCTACTTAGGCCTGCAGTCCACACCATAGTCAACAACACCCTCAAGTGTTTCTTCATCTAGATTCTAGAAACTTCACCTCTTATTTCTGAATGTATGTGTCCTAAAGGTCCCATCAATTCCCAGGTCAACATTTCTCTCTCTGAGGTAGCCTTATGCTGCTAGACCCATCCCTTCCCCATCCCTGCCCCCCTAACACAAACTGAGACCACAGGTTCTGTGTTCTCTTTGGGATTCACCTATACTATAAGGAACCTGCTTCTAAGAGCTAGAAGGAATCATTTGGTACACAAGTACCCAGCTGGATAGGACCAGAGCCCTGGTGCAGCTTGGGTTCTCACTCACATGGCCCTAGTAGCCACAAGGTGGACAGGGGATGATGCTGAACCACACTGTCCTGGTGTGTTTCAGGGGCTCCATTGTCCTGCTCAGCTCCTCACGAAGCTGCTCTAGCCTCTTGTGGTGGAAAGCACCCTGGGCACCATAAATCTCCCACGGGGTAGAATACATCTCCAAGGTTAAGCGGCTCAGCCTGGCAGTGTGGCAGAGCAGGCGTTCCAGAATAGCTACAGAGATGGGATTCCTTAAGTAGTTGAACGTGGTGAGCTGGGAGCAGCTGCTCAGGGCAGGCAGGAGGACACTGAGCTGGGAGTCCACAATCCTACAGTTCTCCAAGTCCAGGGTCTTCAGGGTAGCTGCGACTGTCTCGAGCAGGATTCGGAGGGGCTCGGGATTTATGTTGGTCAGTACGACACCACTTAGATCCAGATGTTTGAGCTGACGGATGCCTGGACACTGGGTCAGGGACTTCAAATCAGATTCCGAAAGCTCACAGTCAGTGATAGACAGACTCTCCAAGGGGACCGTCAGGCACCTAGGGAGAGATCAAGTGGTTAGTTTTCTATGAGTAGCTGTGGTTAGGTTAGGGACCCCTGGGGAAGGATGGATCATTTGTTTTAAAGTCATTCCGGCTACTGTATAAATGTCAGTACCCAGTATGCTGCCTCTTAAGAGTATGCCCACTCAAATTACCCAGTCTAATTCGAGGTCTGGCACCGCCACTGTCTGTCTAGCTCAGCCCAGAGCCCTGCAGCTCCTTTCCCCACTGTCAAAGCAGGCAACTCCAACTCTAGCTATATCACTAAAATTGCTCCAACAAGGAAAAGGCTTTGCCGCGGTCTTCAGGGAAAGCTCTCCCATCTTTCCTCACCTGAGCAACCGGTCCAGTTGACCTTCAAGGAAGGAGATGGAGTCCAACGAGAGCTCGCGGAGGTACTCCAGGTTGTGAAACTGAGAGGTGAACTGGTCGATCAACTTCCCCTTCTCCTCAAGGGAAATGGGGACAGGGATGCAGACGTGGGAGAGAAGGAACTTGCGGAGACTGCGCATCTGGCCCATGTAGGGAGCAAAGCTGGCCAGGGTGGACAGCTTCCAGGTGCAGCACACTTCCACTTCCTCCATATAGTCCAGGTCAAGCATTTCCAGAACCTTCACGATGTTCCGGAGAGCGATCGTGGAGATCTTCAGCTTCTTACAGCCCAGCAAGCCTTTCCTCCCTTCCACCCACAGGAGGAGGTAGGAGATGCATGCATCCAGGGCTCTTGGCTTGAAGCACATGTCTATAAACACCTTCAACGACTGCTTGGCCACTATCCTTGGACCTCGGTTTTGTGTTTTCTTCTTACGCTTGACCTCTAGAGAGCCAGCAGCTGCCTGATCTCCAGCCCATACATTCCAGAAGTCCTTGTGCAAAGCACGCAAATCCAGAACTCTCAGTTTGTAGCTCCTGTAGGGGAAATAAGTCTAAGAATTAAGACAAGAACCCACCTTTCCCCCATCATACTTCTTTTCCATTTTTTGAAATAGGGTCATGCTCACTATGAAGGCCAAATTGTAGCCTGAGGCCGAGGGCTGAAACTATAGGCTAGCACTACGAAACCATTTTGATTCTTACTCCCAACATCACTTCCCTCCCTCTCTGATCCTCCTATTCACCTTGATGATCTCCAATCCTTCGTCTCTAATCTGGCCTGGTCCCACTTCTAACGCCTATGGAAAGAGGCAAGGGCAGGTACAGCTATAGGTTATGGGGACTTTGTCTGGGTTGTGCTCTGATATCCAAGGAAGCCAGGCATTGGTTCAAGAGGCAGGGCTCACATTCAGCTGGTCAGAATGGATCACGGAGTTCCTTGGCAGACTTGAGAAGAGAAAGAGGCCCTCGGAGGAGAAAGAAGTGGGGGACGGGGTTGCGAGGCCATTTTGAGCCGGGAAGTAGAAAGTGGTGGTGTCACGGTCACTTGTGATTCTCTCAAGTTTATGTCCTTAATATTTATCCCCAAGTTTTATTTTTTAAGAAATGATAAAAGAAATCACAATAGCTATCTGTCCTAAACAGCTCTGAACACTCAAGTCCTAGACGGCTCAGCGATGATCCAATGGCTGCTGAAATCCTCCCGAAGCCAACACAAGCCTCTAACCTTCCCTCTGTTCTCTACTCTCCTTGACCCTAGCTCTCCCTACCCCAGACTCCCAAGTCTCCCTCCTAGAGTATCTGGGGTCTCCCTCACCTGGGGTGAACCTTCTGGTCAAGCAGTATATTAATCCCATCCAGGATGATCTGTAAGGTCTCCAGGTAGGATGCCTTCATCTTCATCAGACCTCCCAGTGGGAGACAAGGGAAAGGCCAGACCTGCACCATCGCCTTCAGCACCATAAACCGTTTGTGGGTGAAGGCCTCCTTGAAGAGCGGTGGGAAGAGCTCCACGGGCAGGTCCTGCAGACCAGAGACGGCCAAGGCCTCGTTCCTCAGCAGGCTCCGCACTGCCAGATGCAGGAGTGTGGGTGTGGCCTGGAAGCTCATCTTGATGGATCTGCAGGGAGATGATGCTAAGGCAATGTTCAAGAAAAAGCACCAAGGATTAAGAAGCCCCTCTCAGCCAGGTGGTGGCGGTGCACACCTTTAATCCCAGTGCTTGGGAGGCAGAGGCAGGCAGATCTCTGAGTTCGAGGCCCAAGTTCTAGGATAGGCACACAGAGAAGCCCTGTCTTGAAACCCCTCCCCCGACAAAAAAAAAAGGAAAAGAAAAAGAAAAAGAAGCTCGCTCTTCTCAACTCAGAAACCAAGCCAGGCCCACAGCTGCTGCTCTGGCAATGATTCCCCTTACCCCTCCATTTCCAAGCAGGATCCCCTTGAGCCGTGTCCTCTCACCTCCAGAAATGTGGTCCTAAGAGCCTGAGAGCCTACTCTCCTTTTTAGGTAAGATTTCTGTCATCACCTAAGGCCCTGGAACAAAGGCCTGTGGCCCAACGGTCACATTCTCAGTTCCAGCAGTGACCCTGACTGGGAACAATTCAGGAAGCTGAAAAACCGACTGCTGTTTTCTCATAAAAAACAAATAAATAATAGCCAGTGGATGATGGCACACACCTTTAATCCCAGCACTCAGGAGGCGGAGACAAATGGATCGGAGTTCGAGGCCAGCCTGGTCTACAGAGCAAGTTCCAGGACAACCAGGGTTACACAAAAAGGAAAGGTGGCGGTTCCTGTCTCCTCACCTGTGACAGCTTCACAAAGTCACACGGTTGGGAAGGCAGTCTTGAGAGGCATGAGAAGGATCAGCCGGGAGCTGGTGGGGATGGGTGGGCAACACAGAGGAGGAAGAGAAGGGGGAGGCTGTGTTTGGATGGTTTGAGTTGTATTTTAAAAAGGAGAAAGGCCATGGTTTTGGAATCTTTGGGAAACGGGTTATAAGAGTTCATCGGTCCTTTGTCTACTGCCTGTGACTTTGGCCAGATCATCACTCAACCCCTCCCCATCTGCAAATGAGGCTCACAACTGCACCTGACCTGGATGTTCAGAAAGTGGCGCTAAGCTACCACCCTCATCTTGGATTGAGGGATTTGAGGTTGAAGGCTAGATTATCTACCCAAAGGTCACGGGGTTCCTTTGGCTGTTTCCGGACAAAAAGTAGCAGAGCCTGGGGACCCATGAAGGTAGTTCCAGTTCTCACAAAAAGTAGAGGCAAGGGTATCAAGAGTTCAAGGTCAGCTGCACTTGGAGTTTTGTGATAGCCCGGGCTACCTGAACCCTGTCTAACCTCCCCAGCTCCCTGTAAGAACACAAAGGGAGACCGTCTCCTAACTGCTCTTCCTGCCTTCCTGTGACTTCCATTTGCTTGTTAGACTTCATCAAGTTACACCACCTCCCAAACTTCCATTCTTGAGTAGGTGTTTCCTTTTTTCTTTCATTGCCTTTCTTTCTTTCTTTCTTTCTTTTTCCTTCCTTCCTTCCAAACAGGAAGTACTAGCTTTCAAGCATAAATCCCTCTCCGCCCCCCCCCCCTTAGGGTCTTCTATCTAGCTTCATGGCTAAACACAGGGATGTGTTGCATCTCGGCTTCGACTCTTGTTTTATTTTGGTTGAAAATTGCAGAAACATAGCTACAAAATTTTACAGGGAGATACAGACCACTACCAATGAGAATATTTTTTTTCTTTTTCTTCTTTTTTTTATTTTATTTTAATATTTATTTATTATTTATTTATTTGGTTTTTCGAGACAGGATTTCACTATATCAAGCCTGTCCTGGACCTAGTTCTCTTAGACCAGGCTGGACTCGAATTCACAGAGATCCACCTGCCTCTGCCTCCCAAGTGCTGGGATTAAAGGTGTGCACCACCATGCCCGACATAGATTATTTCTCTGACCTAATTAGTGGTTCCTTTTACTTTATTTCCTTTTTGGAGACAGGGTCACATTTTTATGGGGAGGGTCAGATGGGGAGAAAATGCTGTCTTTTCTTAGCCCAGGAGGCCTTGAAGTAGGACGTAACCGAGAATGACTTTGAACTCGATCCCATCAGAAGGCTGGGATTTGAGGCAAGTATGATTAAACCCAGCTTATGCACATCAAGCAAGCAATATACCAAATGAGCCACATCCACAGCCCTGCATTTTCTTTCTCACGGTCACTCAGACAGAGCAGCACAAGGAATTTACAAGTTTATTAAAGGGGAATTGAATCCAATTATAGGTATAACATAATGTAACAAATAAGATCCCCTCTCCACAAAATGTAAAACTGTAGAGGTCTTGCTTGCTGCAATCCTAAGGGACTTTACTGCCACTTTAAAAAAAAAAAAAGAAAGAAAGAAAGAAAGAAAAAGGTGGGGGGTGCCAGATGGCTCAGTGGGTAAAAATCACTCACTGAATAAGCCTGTGGACCTGAGTTCGATTCCCAGAACCCACAAAGCCCAGATGTGGTGGTATGGATCTGTAATCCGCAGGGCTACTACTGCTAGAGGGGCGGTGGAAACAGAAGACTCACCTGGAAGCTCAAGGCCAGCTAGCATCATTGAGGTGACCTCAATGAGGACCCTGCATCATTGAGGTGAAATTAGAGAAATGATTCTTGATCTCCACATATGTGCTGTGTGAGCACCACACACACACACACACACACACACTCTTGAAAGAGAAGCCATACAGCAGCCATACAGCCTATCACAAAGAAATCCCAATTCTGAAATGAACAGAGGTTTGCTATTTAGGAATTTCAAGATTAAATTCAGGTCAAATCAAGGTTACATTTCTTAATATTTTACACACAAATGGACAAAGAAATACATTACCCAATACATATTCTTTTTTTTTCTTCCAAGACAGGGTTTCTCTATGTAACAGTCCTGGCTGTTCTGGAACTCACTGTATAGATCAGGCCGGCTTCAGATTCAGAGATTCCCTGTGTCTGCTTCCCAAGTGCTGACAAAGGTGTGAGCCACCATGACCAACTCAGAACACATTAAGTAGGAACAAGGTAAACAAACAAAAAACCTGTTCACTTCTTAGAGGGAGCTCTCTCTCTCTCTCTCTCTCTCTCTTCTTTCTTTTTTTTGTTAAGTTTCTTTGTGTAAAGACAGGTCTTAAAAGTCCTGTCTGGCTCTGAACTAATGAAGATATGTCTGCGTCTGTTTCCCAAAAGCTGGGATTAAAGGTAGGCACCAGCCACCCAAAACAGGCCAGAAAAGCCCTAAGCCTGGAATAAAACCAGAAAGGGCAATAATTCATTCAGTCTTTTGAGTGACAGTGATGGAGAAGGTGGGGAAGCAGGAAAGATAAAGTCTCCATGTGAAATCACTTGAAGCCTTGTGCCATCATTTGAAGCCCTGTGCCTCTGACTCCTGAGTGCTGGGATTAAAGTTATAGACCACTTCCCCTGGGTCTTCAAAACACCTTTTAAAAATTATTTTATTATGGTTATCATTATAGGATAACTTCTCCTGGGTTCCAGGTTGTCCTCAAACTCACGAGGTAGCCAAGGACGACCTTCAACTTCTGATCCTCCTGCCTCTATCTCCCAATTGCTAAGATTACAGACCTGTGCTACCATAAATGGTTTTATGTGGTGCTGGGGAATCAAACCCAGAGCTTGTATATGCTAGCCAAGTACTGTGCCAACCGAGACAGGAGTTTTCCAGAAAAGGGCCACCAGGGACCCCAAAGTTCTGGCAGTGAGCAGGACATCTCATGAGCTCATCAACTTACCAGAGGGTTCCCAAGCTGTCTGACGGAGTCACCAGAATATGTAACCAGGATACTCTACCTAATGGTACCACCCGTCAACGAGCAAAGGCAGGAACTGAGTCTTCGGGTCGCAATATAGGCAGAGAGCCAGCGATCTGTGAAGGCAGAGGGTTAATGTTCCCCCTAAGACACCAGAAAACAGCTTTTCATCACACCCATCTCCAGCCAGCAGTGGGGGAGGACAGACAATCCATCATTTCAGAACAGGTCAGGTGCTCAGGCACATTTATGAGACCTGTGATGACTGTGTTTCTTTAGGTTTAGTTTGTTTCTATTTTATTTTTTTTTTTTAAAGATTGGGTCGCCTATGTATCCTTGACCTGGAGCTCTTCCTGCAGAGCACACTGGTCCCAAACTTATAAAAATTTACTTGCTTCTTCCTCCTGAGTACTGGGATTAAAGGTGTAGACTACGATACCTGGCTGTTTAAAAGATTTGGTTCATAAAAACAAACAACAAAAGAAAACAGTAACAACAAACAGAAAGCCGGGCAGTGGTGTTGTACACTTTTAATCCCAGCACTCGGGAGGAAGAGGCAGGAGGATCTCTGTGAATTCAAGGCCAGCCTGGTCTACAAGAGCTAGTTCCAGGACAGGCTCCAAACCTACAAAGAAACCCCATGGGGGAGGGGGTGTTGTTTTGTTATTTGAGACAGGGTTTCTCTGTGCAGCTATGGAGTCTGTCCTGGAACTCGCTCTGTAGCCCAGGCTGGCCTCGAACTCACAGAGATCTGCTTGCCTCTGCCTCCCGAGTGCTGGGATTAAAGGTATGGGCCACTACCACCTTGCTAAAAGATTTTTTAATTATATTATTATTATTACTTTAAGATAAGATCACTTGGGTTCCAGGCTGGCCTCAAACTTACCAGGTAGCCAAGAATTGAATTTCTGATTCTCCTGCCTTTATCTGCCAACTGCTAAAATTACAGGCATGTGCCACCATGCCCAGGTTTATGTGGTGCTGGGGATCAAACCTAGGGCTGTGTATGCCAGGCAAGTACTGTGCCAACTGAACCATCTCTCCAGCTCCCAGATCATTATTTTATAGCACACTCCTTTATACAAACGTTGCCAGGCAGGCGTAGCAGCCTACACCTGAAATTCTAGCACTCCACACACAGTCTGTGGGAGATTGTGAGTTTGAGGCAAGTTTGGTTACATAGTGAGACCCTGCCTCAAAACAAATCCAAACTGTAACTCCAGAGGCTCGACCACTTTCTTCCGCCCTCCACAACCACCAGGTTCTCACAGGGTGCGCGGACATACATGCAGGCAAAACACTAA